TCAAACATGCCATCTGGATTGCAGCCCCGAAGTCCCCCATCCCTGCATTGATACAACAACTCTTCTACACACAGACACCCCCGCAATGCCCCATCTTTCCCCACTGGGTGATCATTCATTTCATGGCATCTGGGGCAGATCATATCAGCTCCGTGGATGTGTGTCGTTTGCTGGGCCAGAAGAAAGACTTAGAAGTCGTCATCCTCAGTCAACCCGGAAACGACACAGACGGATTGAAGTGGCTTTCCTGCAACAGCATCTCTCGCAAGAGGCATTACATCGGGGGTTGCACAAATCTGATGGGTTGGGGTTGGGAGGCAAAATTTTGGAGAGGTGCTATTTTTTTTAAAACTGAAAACTTTGTTTTTTTGGAAACAGGTGCTTTGGGGTGTTCAACTGTGCAAGGGGGTTCTGTGATCTTCCAAAAAAAGGTGAAGCACTCTGCCTTCCTCTTCTGGAGGCTTCCAGAACCCAACCTTTGAGGGTCACACTGTTGGAGTTTCTACAACCTGGCATGCAGCCTTCAGCAGGTTTGGCTGGGAGGGAATTTCTGGGCTGGGGTGACGGTCTATCTTTCTAGCAGCAGCCAAAGGTTTCCTTCCTGGCCTCTGAATTCAAAGAGAGCCCTGCCTCTCTGCTCAGTGCTTTTCTCCCCCCCTTGAGTCTGTCCTTGAAAACAGTCATGTTCGCCAGTTTGCGGTTTGACCCGTTCCGTTGTAAGCAAGTCTTTCTACTACTAATGTCTCAAAGTGAGTTATTGAGACTGTAAGTGCCAGTTGATGAGGGAAAAACAAGGGGTGGATGAACCTGGGGGACTTGAAGCTATTCTGCTGTGTGAACCCCTGCACCTCTGCTGTACCGCTAGAGGAAATGTCACTTCTCTTACACTCCTCTTTGAGATGAGACTGTTGTTTTTATGGTAGCTGCTGTTGCTGCTGCAGCTGTACCGTCCATGTGCCTGAAATACCAGCTCTCTGCCCCAAGGAGCTTACAATCTCAAACTCAACACAAAGGAAAAAATGGACCAAAAGGAGGGGGAAAAGGAATGTACAGTAAGAAAGTTATATTCACTGATTGGGGAAGTTACTCTTTGGGACAATCCCCAGTGGTGTAATGGAGCCAGGATTGAAACCCAGGGACTTTCTGAGTAGTGGCCTCGGACTAAGGNATCTGGGAATAAAATAAAAAATATTTTGGGGACTTTCCCCTTGGGGCAGTTCTGGCCATGGGGGACTGTCAAGATGAGTACCCACACTTCCCAATTGATCACTACATCACTGACAACATATCCCAGAATCTACGGCTCACAGAAATTCAATACCTGTGACTCATGCTCAAAACTCCTTTCCCGCCCCCCCAGCTGTTCCACCCAAGTAACATCTGCGGAAATAATCTGCGCCTGAGCGCTGATCCTTTCAGACGACAAGGCAGACAGAGGGTGACTTTTCCTTGATGTTTTAAAAGCCACTTTTGCTTATTACAGTATAACAGGTTGGTATCCCAGCCACAAGAGGGAGATGTGACACCGGTCTGCACAGATTCCGACATGGTGCCAGCCCGTGCAAACATTTCGGAAAACGGGACAGAAAGCACGGACTACCATCAGGGGATATTGTTACTATTACTTTTGTACCCCAACAACTATGACCCTTTTATTTTGTCTTAAACACATCCCATGCACACATTCTGCTGGAATGTCTCTCTCTCCCTTCTCTGCCTTCCGCAACAAAGGTCGGCCGAGGATACGGAACAGGCTCCGATAAGAAACCATATCGATCAGCAGTCTCAGCTTGCGCAACAGGCCGATCGATCCTATGCCAACCGAGATGCCAGCCTGGGACAGGGCGCGGTCCGTCTCGGATTTCTACAGGCTGGATCACACACAAACACCGCACGGTTTAAGCCAGACAACCCAAGCTTGCCTGCCTCTTTCTAGGCATTGATTCGAGGCCATCACTTCTCTTGCGAAATCTGGAGGTTTTGCTCTGGGCACCCTGGACATGCAAGGCTGGTGGGGCTGGCACCCCGGTCGGGCTGCCTGGAGCGCCCTCGTCCGGCCTACGATCTGTCAGTTCCAAACCCCCCACCTTTCAGCTTTTCCCGGGTGTGCAATCCTGCCAGCTTATCTTTCCATGACTTAGATATCCCATCAGATAAGGGAGGTAGAAAAGGGCTCGTAAAACGGGGAATGTTGGCAGGGGTGCACCTTAACCCAGCGTGAGAAGGATTGTGGTACCAAAATCCCCGTTGCCGCAGAAGCGCCAAGAACCCTGGCGTAGCCGTTTGCCTCCTCAGACAGTCACCGAGGGGCGTAGTTTCTGTCATTTCCAGGCCTGATAAATATCACGCTTTTATTAATTAGCCAACGACTTGGGACTAATTAAAAAGCAATCCAGGCAACGTTGCCAATCGGGAAGAGGTTTAAGTCTCCGGATTAGTTCACGTCTGCCTTGCTCCGCACGGCCAGGGGGGGTGGCTCAGGATGACGCACTCTTGACTCATTCCGCGCTCCCCTTTTCAACATCGGCCTGGCACCTTGTGAAAATTGGAGTCGAAGGACCAGCCAGGCCTGAAAGAATCTCCAGGGTCATCTAGCTGCCAACCCGGGAATCCACAGCTAAAGCCTTTCTGAGAAATGGCCATCCAAGCCAGAAACCTCAAACAAAGCAGAATCTACTACCGTCTGGGGGAATCCTTTGCATTTCGGAGCAACTCTTACTGTCAAGGGTCGTGCTTTATAAAAAGCCCCTTGCTTGCAATTTTAATTTTTTCTTTTCCCGACAGCTGGAGGTTCCCAGCTGGGTTGGTCCTTCTCGCTTTGGACATTGTTATGATAGCCAGGAAAAAGTATGGTTTACCAAATTTCTGCATTTCAGGCTGCTCTGAAAAGGCCTCGAAGTGGCATCAGAAATGAGCAGTGTGGTAGATTTAAACAAGGGATACTGTTAGGGGAAAAATGCTGGAAGACCATTCCTGTAGTGAAAAGAAAAGAAAAACCTGGCTGGATGACAGACGAAGCACTTAAAATTGTAAAGGATAGGTGCAAAGAAATAGAGATGGTTGTTGTGGGTTTTCCGGGCTGTTTAGCCGTGTTCTTAAGGTTTTTCTTCCTAACGTTTTGCCGGTCTCTGTGGCCAGCATCTTCAGAGGACAGGAGTCAAAACTCTGTGCTCTGGTGCAGTTTGTTGGATAGTTGAGTATTTATAGCTGTGGGATTTTGCTTTTGTCCTTTTCACGAGATTGGATGATTATGGTGATTAACGTGTTTTTTGTTGTGGGTGTATTGTTGTGATAAGGGGGAGAGATGATCTGTCACTGTGATTGATGGGTGTCGTTAGCTGGTATTTTGTGTGCAGTGATCACAGGTCCTTGTGGCTGGGTAGAGTTCATTGACCTTTTGTAGGCTGTGTTTTCCTGTGCTGGGAGCCAGGCCTTATTCAGTTTTAGACTTTCCTCTTTTTTGTTTAAGCTCTGCTGGTGTTTGTGGATTTCAATGGCTTCCCTGTGCAGTCTAACATAATGATTGCTGGTGTACAGTACTTCAGTTATTTTGAAATAGAATGTCATGTCCTGCTTGTTTTAGGGCATGTTCAGCTACTGCCGATTTTTCCGGTTGTTTTAGTCTGCAGTGTCTCTCATGTTCTTTGATTCTGGTGTGGATGCTGCGTTTTGTGGTTCCAATATATAGCTGGCCATGACTACAAGGTATCCGGTATACTCCTGTAGTGGTGAGGAGAGCTCAGTGGTTTAGGTCTCTGGCTGCAGAGGCAGAGGTTGGGAGTTTGATTCCCCGCTGAACCTCCTTGACAGAGGATGGACTTCATGATCTATAGAGTCCCTTCCAGTTCTACAGTTCTAAGATTAAGGTTAAGAAGGGAGCAGGAAAGATATCTCTTCAAAAAGATCCCAGAATTTAAAGGGAAATGTAAGCCTAGATTAGGAAAGCTGACCAATCAACAGGGAAGCACACTATCTGACCAGGAGAAAATAAAGAGAAGGTGGAAACAGTATACTGAAGACTATGCAGCAGCAGAGTGCTAAACCAGAATTGCAAAGATCTGAGTTCAAGTTCCCCAACTCACTGGATAACCACGGACCAGTGGGTCTTTGAGCATGAGCTACCTCATAGGACCATTGTGCAAACAGTAGAGAGGAAGAGGAAAGAACACCCCCATAAGTTCACTGGAGGAAAGGGGGCATGTGACACAAACGCAGTGAACAATTAGCCAAGCAAAATGGCAGTGTCCCTGCCTTCACTCTGCCTCCTGGGTAAACAAAGCTGTGGGACCGTTGTCAGTAGAGAGGAAGAGGAAAGAACACCCCCATAAGTTCACTGGAGGAAAGGGGGCATGTGACACAAACGCAGTGAACAATTAGCCAAGCAAAATGGCAGTGTCCCTGCCTTCACTCTGCCTCCTGGGTAAACAAAGCTGTGTTTACCCGCAATTTCACGTGTTCATTTCGCACTTCACCTTGCTTGTACCCTAAATTCACCACAACTCTGCGAAGAAGGTGGCGAAATGGAAAAAGGGCCTTTTGACTCAACCGAAATATCTACATCCTTTTAGGTAGGAGTCTTCCAAAGCTGGGAAAGCCACCTTTTGGGACCACAACCCCAGTCAGCACAGTCACTAAGGGGCCAACTGCTGGATAGCTCAGTGATTTAGCTGTCCAAGTTGGGAGTTCGATTCCCCTATGGGGCCTCCCTGAGAGGGGCTGGACTGGATGATCCTTAGGGGCCCCTAGTCAACTTGTCACCACAACCCGTCAGCACAGTCACTAAGGGGCCAACTGCTGGATAGCTCAATGATTTAGCCATCCAGGTTGGGAGTTCGATTCCCCCAAGGGGCATCCCTGAGACGGGCTGGACTGGATGATCCTTAGGGGCCCCTTCCAGCTCTATAGTTCTAAGATTGTGGGCTTCTGGAAGATGTTAGAAGAAACATTTTGAGCTTTCTCCCCACACCACAGGCCACTTCCACCCAGTCGACCGGACTCACCTTTGGTCTCCCACAAGAGCTCCCCAGTCAGATTCCCCACTTCCGCCACAGCTGGCCAGGGCAGTCCCTTCTCGGCCGCAAACACCAGGCTGCGGTACTGCAGGTCAAGCAGGATGCTCCGGCGCAAATCCCGAACTTCGTCAAACTCCTTCCACCCCAACAAATCTCTCAGATACAAACGTCCTTTCTTTTGCTGAAGAAGACAAGGGAGGATAGAAGTTATCAGCATTTTTATGGGCCTTTTTTTTACACACACACACACACGCACGCACGCACGCACACACACACACCGTTCCACACTCAACCCTATCTTGGCCAAGCCTTCATCCCAGAGATGAGCAAGAAATACATTTCACTGAGAATTAAAAAAATAATAATAATAACACAGATCTAACAAGTTCCTAACCCTCCTGAAGCGGGCACAAAACTATTTTCGGTGAGAAATCTGTACTACTTTTGAGGGCTTTGGAGAAGGACAAACCTCCACACATCCGCCAAGAAGGGAGTGTTTGAAAAATGCACGGAGAAAGATCTGCCATTTGGAAAGGGGCACAAAGCGTGGTTTATTTAACAGCTGCATTATGCTGTGTGTAGAAAAAGGTATAAAAAGCACAAAAAGAGGTGTACTGGAACAAGATGCACAGAAGTGCATACATTTAAAAAGCACGCACTCAAAAATACATACATATTTCTGTGGCAGTGGCAATAGAACAGACGTTTGTACAGAATTCTGTACAGAATGAGCTTCATGGTGGAAAGAAGGGACAGAATGAGCTTCCGGGCCTCAAGTTTGCAAATCTGTATCTCCTACTCAGAACGGATAGATCAAACCTATCCGTTCTGAAGGAAATCAACCCTGAGTGCTCCCTGGAAGGACAGATCTTGAAGCTGAGGCTCCAAGACTTTGGCTATCACATGAGAAGAGTCCCTGGAAAAGACCCTGATGTTGGGAAAGTGTGAAGGCAAGAGGAGAAGGGGATGGCAGAGGATGAGATGGATGGACAGGGTCATCGAAGCGACCAACATGAATTTGACCCAACTCCAGGAGGCAATGGAAGACAGGAGGGCCCGGCGTGCTCTGGTCCATGGGGTCACGAAGAGCCAGACACGACTTAATGACTAAACAACAAACAGTCTCTTACTTGTGTGAAATGAAACTCTGCCATGCCTACAGTGGGGCCTCATGTGGTGGAGAAGACTCACTTGCAGTTATCTCTTTATAACAGCAAAAAAACATCGACAAGGTGGCAGGGAAGGGGGAACTCCCGTAAAGTTACATCATGCGGTCATTTCATGGGTGTCTGCTAGAGCAGTGGTTCCCAACCTTGGGTCTCCAGATGTTCTTGAACTAAAACTCCCAGAAGCCTTGGCCACCAGCCGTGCTGGCCAGGATTTCTGGGAGTTGTAGTCCGAGAACACCTTGGGGAACCAAGATTGGGAACCCCTGTGTTAGAATATGGCTAGCTGAAGAAGCTACCAGTTAGGTTCCTTGGGCAGCTAGACTGACCCGGATTATGTTCTAGGCTTTATACTCACTTCCAGAGCACCATTGCCTGAATTACATGAAAAGCAACCCTGGTCTAAGTTAGGGAGAAATGTGGGAAGGACCTAATTTATACAAATACATCGACTTTGACGTTGTCTCCCGTTAGAGAAAACAGGTGCGGCCCTTCGGAAGGAGAGCAAGACGTCCCTCATAGACAGATATGGCTAAAAGACTTCCGACCAAGTTTGGTTGAACTGCAAAGTCTATCGTGGGTCGCCATTGGCAATACCCGTTGGGGATGATGGGAGTTGTAATCTAATACCTGAAGGCCCTTACTTTGCCTGTCCCTTCTTTCTTTAAACAAGCCAGTTACGTGTGTGCTACAACACCCATCATCCACTGGCTGGGCTGGCTGTGAATGATGGGAGTGGTGATCTCACACATCTGAAAGGCCCTGCACAGAAAAGGCAAACTACTCTCTGGGATTTAAGTCAAATTAAGAGCAAATGAAATCCTTTTATGAAATCCTCGCCTCTGGAACAATCTCCCTCTGGAGATTCGTGGGGGCCCCTCGCTGGGTATTTTAAAAAAACCAACAAAAAACTTGGATGTTCAGGCAGGCCTTCCCCTCCAGTTAATATCTGTTTCTTTCCTCTTTTTTTCTTTGTAGTTTATTTTTTCATTTTCTTCTCCATCTTGAAGTTTTTACTATTTAATGTAATAACTCTTTTTTTATTATTATTAATATTACTTTATTGTAGTATTATGATTCTGTAAGCCACCTAGAGTGGTCATATTGACCAGATAGGCGGGATATAAATAGAATAAATAAATAAATTTTAACACATGCCTTCTTCCCTCCCCATTTCCCCACTATTTTCTTTTCATTTTTATTGTTATTCTTTTTGGCCTCCAAACTCTCTCTCTCTCTCTCTCTCTTTCTCTCTGGGTTGTTGTTGTTGTTGTTGTTGTTGTTGTTGTTGTTGTTGTTGTTGTTGTTGTTGTTGCTGTTGTTGTTATTGTTGTTATTGTTGTTATTGTTGTTTTTGTTGTTATTGTTATTGTTATTGGTTTTTGTTGTTGTTTTTGTTGTTGTTGTTGTTGATGATGATGATGATGATGATGATGATGATGATGATGATGATGCACCTGCCTGCTAACCAGCCATTTCTAATCAGAAAGGCCATGCAGACAAGGAAGCAGGCAGGAGACGAGGGGAGAAACTGTTTCCCCACAGAATTAAGAGCACAGGAGCCGGGATAAAAGGGCGGCCATGAAGAAACGCCTCGTCATGCGCAGGAGGCTAGGTGGAGACAAGGCTGCAGAGAGATTAGGAGCACCACTCCAGAGCCCTGCTGGGATCTGTCCTCCTATCAAAGCCAATTTGCCTAAAAGCTCAGTTAATTACACTTTGAAGTTAAGCGGCCTTGCTATGCTCCTGGTTATTACTTGGCTAGCTGGATTGGCCACTTAGGCATCCCATAAAAAAAAGAGAGGCCACAAATGTGTATAAAATTTGCATATGCTAATTTATATGCCTAGATGCCAATGTAGAAATGTTATTTACACAGAGTTAGAATCCCTCTCTGATTAAGAAATTAGAAATATTTATTTTATTTTATTATATTTATTTATTTATTAAAATTTTACCCCGCCCCTCTAGACAATGTCTACCTAAATATTTAGGCTAGCATCCTATTCAGGGGTTACCTCAGCACGTGATTGTCCTGACACATACAACTCATATGGTGAGACAGACAGAATGCTTTCCTGGAGGCAAAAGTATCAGGCAAGGGTGCCGTTTATCCTCTTATCTCTTCAAGAACATATAATAAGAAAACCCAGACTAGATTCAGGTAAAGGAGGGTTGAAAATTGGTGGAAGAAACATCAAGTAATATAAGATATGCAGATGACGCCATCTTACTAGCAGAAAACACCAATGACTTGTAGTGAAAAAAGTGCCAAAGCAGGACTACAGTTGAATGTTAAGAAAAACCATGACTACAAAACTACTGTATGCTGCTTTAATGTTGACAATGAAGAAGTTGAAACTGTTGAAGATTTTGTATACCTCGGTTCAGTCATCAATTCAAAGGGAGACAGCAACCAAGAAAGATAAACAAGTAGGTCCTACAGTAAATCAAGCCTATACTATCTCTGGATGCAAAAATGATGAAACTGAGACTGTCCAACTTTGGACACATTGAGAGGAGGCCGGATTCTTTGGAAAAGACTGTCAGGCTGGGAAAGGTGGAAGGCAGCAGGGAAAGAGGAAGACCCCAATGTGAGATGGACTGACGCTGTAAAAGAAGCCACAGGCTCGAGTCTACAAGAGCTGAGCAGGGCTGTGGAGGATGGGACATTCTGGAGATCTCTCATTACAGGGTTGCCATAAGTCATAGGTAACTTGATAGCACCTTAACAACAGCATAGGTTGGAACAGAAACCATTTAAATAAAACCTAGCATGCAGTCATGGGCAGTGTTGGCCTGGCTGGAAAGACCCAGTTCCACATCTGCACACGGGCCTCCATTCCAGCCGTTGACCCCCACTTGCTCAGATTCTTGCTAGCTGGCCTTTGTTGTGCTAGAGATGCTGATGGAACTATCCTATAAGTCAGTGGTCCCCAACCTTGGGCTTCCAGATGTTCTTGAACTTCAACTCCCAGAAATCCTGGCCAGCAGAGGTGGTGGTGAAGGCTTCTGGGAGTTGTAGTTCAAGAACATCTGGAGGCCCAAGGTTGGGGACCACTGCTATAAGTCATCCAGTGCAACTTAAGGAACAGTGAGGTTAAAAACAAGAACCTCCCTATAATACAACACAACATAAGGTAAAGGTTCCCCTTGACATTTAGTCCAATCGTGTTGGACTCTAGGGCGCGGTGCTCATCCCTGTCTCCAAGCCCTAGAGCCAGCAGTGGTCCGTAGACGGTCTCCGTGGTCAAGTGGCCAGCGTGACTAGACATCTCCGTGGTCAAGTGGCCAGCGTGACTAGACACGGAATGCAGTTACCTTCCCATTAAGGTGGTACCTATTTATCGACTCGCATTTTTACATGCTTTTGAACGGCTGGGTTGGCAGGAGCCGGGATGAGCGTCGGGAGCTCACTCCGTCGCGTGGATTCGATCTTACGACGGTGGGGCTTTGACCTTGCAGCACAGAGGCTTATGCAGTTTAACCCACAGCGCTGCCACCCTAACACAACATAAACATAGAACTAAAACATGCGTATGAAAACATCCAGCAATTTTATTATTATATTTCAGAAATACTGTCATCAAAAAAATAACACCCACTTCCTTCATGCACCCAAATGCTTGCCTGTACATTAAAACACACACACACACACACACACACAAATTTCACTGGGGGGAATCTGCATTTAAAACCTGAGATTTCAAACCCTTGAGCCCCAAAATTCTGTTCCTGATCCCAAATTCCAGGGTGGAAAGGTGTCCTTATGTAAATCCAGCCGGCAGCGTTTGCTTCAAAAATCTACCCGCCTCGTCTTGACCCATGAAAGCGACAAACCCAGCTAACTGCTGAGCGTATAATATTTCAAAGAGACTTCTGTGAACCTTCCTGCCCACCTCGCTGGATAATAAAAACCCGCTCCAACTTTTTCTGCCTCACAGTTACCTCCAGATGAAGGACTGCTTCGACACCCTCGGCGGATAAACTGGCCATCCTCCTTGGCATCGGTTGCTAGGAGACAGTTTGCGATGCACAAAACCGTCCCATGAAAAGGAGAACGTGAAAGGTTCCATCAGAACGAAGCCATTCATGCATTCCAAAGCAGGCACAATACACACATTTTCTTCCTCCTCTTCCCCCTCCATCATAGTTTGGCCATCATCATCATCACGGCTCTTTGGGCTTCCGATTCGGCAGCTCAGTGCAACCACGTTGGGTGACATCCCCCAAACATGACTCTGTACATGGAACTGGGGTAGAGAGGTGCTGTCTTGTCCATTCCTCAAGTGGGAAAAGGTTGGGGGGTCTGGCCTTGGACACCACTGGGGTTGCTGAATTTGTAGCATGTCGTTCGTGGAGATTTCATCAGGGTTGGGAATCAGATCCCAAGACTTGCTGTCGAGTCGGACATAAATCACACTGGTGCCTCTACTCAGAGTCTTCCCCCCGCGTGACTCGAACTCAGGTCACCACTCAGAACCTGCCCGCACCTCCCTTTTTCTGGTGAAAAAAGCTTGTTTTCAAGAGGGTCTCGGGAGCTTGGGACTTAGTACCAAAGCTTGGATTCGAACTCGGGACTTGGCAACATCCTTGTTTGGTGCCCATCAAGCCACTGTTAAAAAATACTTTGGTGGTGGCGAAAATGCACTCCCTCCTGCTACCACCTTCTCTCAGTTGCCATGCCGGTCGGTGGTGGTGAAGACGGGGAGGAGCAAGGACGTTTGAGGGGGACAATTGACATCATCACCCTTGCAAATCTGGGCAAATCATCATCTGGCCAACCTGATGCCATATCATCATCATCTTTGTTGTTGTTGCTTAAGCTCCTGACAGGACAGTAAGCCTTGCCTTTTGTATAATAATGATTCTATTGTTGCTGTTTAGTCGTTTAGTCCTGTCCGACTCTTTGTGACCCCATGGACCAGAGCATGCCAGGCCCTCCTGTCTTCCACTGCCCCTACTAAGCTCGGGACTTTGGGAAAAAAACATTTTAAAGAATAGATTACAAGCCAGTTAAAAACAAACTGAACAATGAAGCAATGAAAAATAAATACAGTAATCAAAGTCAATCCATTTGAAAAAAAAGGAGTTAAGACTCCTGCAGGCACCCTATCAGCCAAGGTGAATTTAATTTCTGTTAGTTAACAGATCTCTTGGCTGTTCTTCATTTAAAATTGTGGGGCATAGAATTTATTAAAAAAAAATCAGTAGCAAATCACATTTAAAGCTGCAGAACAGATCCAGAGGAATAAAAATTTGGCAGACCACATAATACACACAGAGAAAAAAAAACATTGTCACAACCTTGTGAAAATTAAGTGAATCTATAATTGGAAAAGAAAAAGTGACTGCATGAGTGCAGAATAACAACAACAGAATGGCAGAGCTGGAAAGGACCCCCTGTCAAGGAGGCCCAGTGGGGGAATCGAACTCCCAACCTCTGGCTCTACAGCCAGAGACCTAAAACCGCTGAGAAATAGAAAGAGTTTCATTTCTTCTTTCAGCTGCCAGTCCTAAGCCAGATTTGCTGCTGACACTGCTGGTCCCTTCAGGGCCGTGGAATATTCTTGCGGGGGGGGGGGGGAGATATAAATTAAATAACTACATGATCTTATCAGCTGAGCTTGATAACTAGAAAGCCCATTTATTTGTCTGTCTGTCTGTTTGTTTCAACATACTCTGTTAACCCCAAAATAAGACCTAACTTGAAAATAAGCCCTAGTATGATTTTTCAGGATGCTCGTAATATAAGAGAACGTGACTGTGTTTGAATGAAGGTACAGTGGTGCCTCGCTAGACAGTTACCCTGCATGACAGTTTTTTCGCTAGACATTGACTTTTTGCAATTGCTATAGCAATTCGCAAAACAGTGATTCCTGTGGGGGAATTTAGCTGGAGAATGTTTGGTCCCTGCTTCGCAAACCAGTTTTTGCTAGACGACGATTTCGACAGCTCCCTCCGTGCTCGCAAAACGGGTGTTTTCGGGACCTAAGCTTCGCAAGACAGCTATTTAAACAGCTGATCGGCGGTTCACAAAACGGCTTTCCTATAGCTGATCTTCGCTAGACAACAATGATTTTTCCCCATTGGAACGCATTAAACAGGTTTCAATGCATTCCAATGGGGAAATGCTATTCGCTAGACAATGATTTCGGTAAATAGCAATTTCAGTGGAACGGATTATCATCGTCTAGCGAGGCACCACTGTAGATGGTTATATATGAAAAAAAATAAAACAATCTCCTGAAAATAAGCCCTAATGTGTTTTTTGGAGCAAAAATTAATATAAGACCCTGTCTTATTTTCGGGGGAACACTGCACATACAAAGAAGGCAAGCAGGTATTTAAGTGCTTCCCCCGTACAGTATCTCCCTCTTGCAACCCCTCCCAAAGAGATGCCACATCTCCAGCTTTGATCCTCCAAGTCTAAGGTTGGCTTCAGACTTCAGACCCCTCCAGGCTGAGCACTGAAATCACAGGGCCTTGAGCTTGTCTTAGAGAACTGCCTTAAGAGGTGATCCTACAAGAAACTAGATTTCATTCTGGAGCGGGCCGGTCCAATTTATTTCCCAGTGATCACATGACATGCCGGGCTTTGAAATCCAGCCAGACTCTAACCTGCACCCAATCCCACTTGACCCCAATCTGTTAGGGTTACTCCTTTGCAGGGCTGTCAGCAAGTCTTTGAGTCCAAGTCCCGAGTTCGAGTCCCCATTAAAAATAAGCTCCCCCCCCGCCCCCAGAAAATAGGGAGGGATTGTTGGGTTCAGAGTCACAAGTCAAGTCTGAGTTATTTGAATTAAAAAAATTCCAAGTCAAATCAGCGATGTGACTTAATTCCGACAGGACGGCCAGTCGCGCAACTCCAACAGACAGAAGGGTTGCTTTGATGCATTCAAGTGACTCTTTCCAGTGTGATCGGATGCATGTCATTCCCTCCGTCTGATCGCACCCTTCCTTGCTAGTAGTCTGGTAGCCTCCAGATACTGTGGACTACATTTCCCATAATCCATCACGCTCGGCAAATCCGGCTGAGGCTGATGTGAATTGGATTCCTAACCATCCAGAGGGGACATCGTTGGTTAGAATTAGAACTGGTCAAGATGCTTTGCAGTGAACTTTTTATGAAATACAATTTCTCTTCTGCCCTACCCCAAAAAAGGTGAGATATTGCACTAAAGCCCTATCATCTCCCAAATACCCAGTTTTTCTAGTGATAATTTTGGATGGATGATCCCTCCCTCTAGGAAGAATATTCTCTTCCCACCCTCTCTCTGCTGAACTGGCTCATTTACTTAAGTCATCACCTTTCCAGCTCTGCCTTTTTATAGTGTATCCTATTCTCAAGATTGGGTTCTTTAAAAGATTTTCGTCTTTCACCTGTTGGCACCTTGACAGCGTTGTTACGCCACCAACGACGAGTCTCGGTCTGCGCACAGCCCGAGATCTGGCAATTCCCCTCTTTATCCACACCCTCCCAAATTTTCCTAGGCATGAGTTTGGTGCGACTAATCAGAAGCAGAGGCAGGCCAGTATCATGATGTGGCGCAGGGCGGGGAGAAAACAGCCACTGACGTGAATGAAGGCACAGTCTGAGTATTCAAATCGAATTTATACAAGATACGTCCAGGGGTTGAGGAAAGACACTGATTCATCAAAGGCCAAAATGATGGAGCCCAGATGCCAAGGAGCGTGTGGGTGTCTTATGAACAAGAACGGTGGATTTAATAACAACATTGGGTAGTTAGATAGTGCATGTCCGAACAGCATCAGATACGTGACTTCAGTAATCTTGCAAAAACCTGGTAAGGTAGGACTGTGTTATCACCCCATAAACCAAAGAGCAAAGCTCGACCTGAATCAACCGTATGATGTGACTCCAAAAAAAGGGCCAATGCCATTTTATGATGCATTAACTAAAATCTAATCTCTAAATCCCACAAGGTACTAATCTCACTCTATTTACCACTGGTTAGGCCTCATTGAGAGTCCTGTGTCCAGTTCTGGGCACTGCACTTCAAGAAGGATGCTGACAAACTTTAGCAAGTTCAGAGGAGGGCGACAAGGATGATCAGGGGCTGGAAACCAAGCCCTTGGAGGAAAGGCTGAAAGAATCAGGCATGCTTAGCCTTGAGAAATGAAGACTGAGGGGTGATAGGATAGTACTTGTCAAAGACTTGAAAGGCTGTCCTACAGAGAAGGGTCAAAATCTGTTCTCAATCATCCCAGAGTGCAAGACACGCGACAATGGGCTCAAGTTATAGGAAGTCAGATTTCAATGGAATATCAGGAAAAACTTCCTAACTGTTAGAACGGTACAACAGTGGAACCAGTGACCTCGGGAGGTAGTTAACATTCCAACCCTGGAGACATTCAAGAGACAATTGGACAACTGTTTGTCAGATCTGCTATGATGTGCGTTCCTCTGCCTTGAGCAGGGGGTTGGACTTGATGGCCTTATAAGCCCATTTCAACTCAATTATTCTGTGATTCTATGAAAGCCTGAGAATGCATACAGAAGAATGGAAGGTTAGGAGATCAATCCAATCTACTTGGCATTCTGATCAAGTCCTAGGGGATTTTCTTCTCTCTTAGCGTGCAACGACAACGGAGACAAATCCATGTGAATCAGCTCAGAATTCCCCCCCTCCAAATGCTTTTTTTCCTATCCACCACTGGAGCATCTCCTTTTTTGGAATCAGACCCCTTCATATTGGTTCAGGCGATGTGATTGCTTCAGCCGAAGTGAAAGGCTTTGTAGCCGCTCCATTGGAAGCTGTTCCAGCTGACTACAGCAGCAGTGTGAGAGGCAGGACAATCAAAAACTGGCTGTCATGTCACACTTCTCTGGGAAAGAGTGAGGCATCAGCAGGGAGAGAGAGAGAGAGAGAGAAGTGGGAATTATCAATCTGATCTGATAACACCCCCCCCCCAAAAAAATCCTAGAAATTTAATTCAGCCTCTGTCTGAAGGTCACTCCTCGATCTTGTAATCTCACCACGAAGCAG